AGACGCTATCGAGTAGCTACAGTCATTCATTTGATTGGCTCATCTTGATCGCCATAAGTTTGCCACACCTAGTTGATGAATTATCGAAACAGTTATCCGGAATACAGGTTTAAATGTTCGTCCACGCGTGCGCATCCAAAGAAAGTACATTTCGGGCTGGTGTGTGTACCCTACGCCAAATTCCACTCATTTTGTTTTCACTCGTGGATCCTTGCAAAGACGTATCCAAAGCGCCAGGAGGAAACGAAATGGAAAGCCTTCCAATTCCTACAAGATCTGGCCCTTCACTCTGCTGGGTAGCAGACGTCTTTTGACTGCGTCCGCAAAACTGCTCTGGGGAACCACCTCACGGAATTCATCTCTCATTTGTCGTCATTCTCCTGTCACATTGTAAGACCACGTGACCGAAAGTCCAGGGGAGCTCAGTCCTAACTATGTCTATTTACCTCCCGTTTACTACAGCCACCGTTGATGCAATGCTCGGGTGCTGAACTGCTTTTCCATTGTTTTAGTTTATCAGGCAATGACGACGGGAATCAACAGATTAAAAGAGCTCCGATGACGGCCACTGATGGCTCTCTCCAGTCATGTAAATTCTCAAGCCTATTCAAACTCTTCCGGCAAATGAAATGTCTTTATTTTTCATACTCTCCTCAGTCACCAGAAGAAGACATTCAGTCAGATTGAGATGAAGCCACTGAGAAGGGTTATAAATTGCGATGCGCGGTGACGGCAACAGCACTTCGCTACCGTGCACGCATTCAGCATCCTCGGAACTCGTACGCATCAGTTCAGGTTCGTTGCATCCCACCGAAACGGAGAGTTCGACTTCATCCATACTTGAACTCCGCATTAAAAACAGCAGTTAAATTCAAGTATGACAAACGATCTCTGACAGTTTCACTGATTCTATCCATGGTCCCAATCGTTCGTGGCATAGCGCCATAACTGATCTGAGACTTGGATAGCCAGGCGCATCTTTACTGTCTGCGTGTATGATAGTGTTTGAGGTGTGGTAAACTGTGCTCTCTGAAAGTCAGAAAAAGTTTAGCTGAGTGATCTCAAGAGTGTGAGAGTAAATGTGAACATTACTCACATTCCAACAATCAGCCTACACGTCGCCCTCTACTATGCCATCATTCCGACTCATCAATCACAAGCTGCTGATATAATGTGATTCGTGTTTAGCAGTTATGAAAGAAGCTGTTAGTTTTCAATCGATTGGAGGATGTTTGGGACCGACTGAGAAGTGTCAGAGAAAGCTTTAAACGGATTCGAGTGTCCACCAAGGGTTTTCTAACGTTACGTAGATGGTACGTTCGTTGTGATGAAGCGGGATAAGGTGAACGAATCGGAACACCTTGGAGCTTCGTATTAAGTTTAGAATGGAGCTAGAGTCCACATCGGGTACTCTACCTTCCTTGACTGCATAACACATGAGAGTGGTGGGAAATTAAAAACCACTGTTTACCAGAAATCGACAGATATCGGTATGGTCTTAAGCTACTCCTCTGCACATCCAAAAGCAGTATATGCTAGCACAGCCTCAGCGATGTTTAGGACAGTGCGAGCACTGTGTACAGAGGAGGTCGACCGAAGAGCAGCACAGCTTGAGGTAAAAAAGCGACTCCAATATAGCGGATACCCAGTGGGTTTAAATAAGCGGCAACTAAGACGGGGATGGGGGTGTCAACACCAAGTCCCAACAAGGAGTGGATCGGAACACCGGTCATTCCATACAAAACAGGGACATCTGAAGTCATTAGAAGGGTACTGAATACGGCTAACATTAGAGTAGCATTCCAGAAGGGGAAGACTTTACACTCGGTGTTGGTGCATTTGAAGGATCGCCTTTCGGTTGGTAGGACTAGGAACTGTGTGTAAAAAATGAAATGTGACGTACGAAGGTTTACATAGGTCAGACAGCCAGGGAATTGCACACCAGAATCGGTGAGCATAAGCGTTCCATTAATAGACCATCGAGAAACGCTGATGAATACCATGCGACAGTCAAAGACTCGTTAATGGCAGGACATGCACTAGACACTGGGCTAGGAAAGATTTAGAAAATGTGGACATCCTGGGACGGCGTTTAAGATTCACACCACAGCGACTGGGGGCCGAGGAGGTGGAAATCGCCAAGCATCCCAGCATAAATAGAATAGAGGAGGTAGAACTTGCAAACGTGTGGAGAGCGGTCTTAGATCAACCGAGATGACAAGAGGTTGTGTGCAGTTATAAGCGAAAATGGTCTGGGTCAAAAAGTACAAAATCCATGAAGAGTAAGATCCAGCTAACAATCCAACCTAAAACTAACTGTCTTGGCACCTCTCGATAAACACAGGCGAGCAAAATCTGTGAGTGACCCCAAGAGGAATATTCCATTAAGGTGTCCTAGACTGAAAAAGCAAGGACGAAAAATCCGGGTTCAACATGA